AGAATGCGCTTTTGTCGTCCTTTCTAACGCCTCAGCGATTATGTCTGCTATTGCAGAAAACACAAACATTTTATTCACTCGCCTATACATCGGGGAGCTTGCTGCTGCTCTACATTTGCAATTTGTATCCCTTCTCCAGGCACTATCAAATCAATTCCTTGCGCCTCCAACTTTTTCATATAACAGGAGGAATTTGCAATAGCCGCATCACTGAATGGTTTACCAAAACCTTAGTTGCAATTGTTTTTTGGCTTTCCTTCTATTTGTTCTGGTTAAGGCATCATATCGGATAACACTTATCCTCCACAAATTTACTTTTTTCTGGGAAGCAAGGTGACCTTCAGCTGTTCGCCCAAATGCACATGAGTTCGCCAAAATCAGACTCTTTTGCCCTTAACGACACTTGCAAACTTCGGTGCTTTTTTAAAAGTGCCACCATGGCTTCGTTGTTGGCACTTATTTCTACATATGGTTTATTCGCACAACTATTAGTCAACGTCATTAATAATTTCGGTTTTTTGCTGGAAGTGCAAAAAGCAAGAATTATTGAAAAAATAATATTTGGCTAAGATTTATTATGCGTTTGTTTATTAAATTTTTCTTTTAATTTTAGATGCAATTTACACTACTGATATCCTTTTCAAGGGCGTGACCTATATGGGCGCAAAGTGTGCTGGCCATGACATGTCGCGCACACATTTTGGAAAAATTTTAATATTGTAAAAGGTGTTAATTGCCATGACAATTGCACGCTTGACCGCCTTTATGATGGTGTTAATGGCTCCGCGTATACGTGGAAAAAGAAGTGAAGTCAGTTAAAATTGACAGAACAAAATTAAACATCATCAATTGTGAACAACGTAATGCTAGGATGTCATGTTCCTGTTGTGATTTTGGAAATGGATACAATTAACTCATCATCAGACTCTCGAAGGATGTTCCCATAACAAACATCCCACTTTTCCGTCGACATATGTTGCAAAGATAAGTTTAATTATTTTTGCTGTTTCATTCTCTTTTGTCTTAAGATGGGGCACATATTATTGCTGGTGTTGATGTTAGATTCGATGTTTCACAAGTGTTTCAACACACGCAAGTGTGGAGTGGAGTCGCTCTATCGTAAAATATTAGCTCCCAAACAAAGGCAGTAGAGACAACTCAACAGTGATCATGCTCTCACTTCCCACTGCGGCAGTCATGTGTGGCAGGTATCAGTGGTGAAGAGCAGGTGTGAAGATAAGCGTGGAAGGAGTGGAGGGATGTTAAGGAAATGCACAGTGGCCAATGAGCAATACGTCAGTAGAAAATGAAAAATTGAGTTAGGACAAAGGTATGATTTAAGTAAATAAGCAAGATGATTCCCTAACTGGACGGGAAGATGCTGTGTCAGTAGTAACATCAAGTGATTAGCATGTACGTTAATGTCACTTGCACTCATCTATAACACAACCTCGTCCAACAAACTACCACACTGAGAATGTAAGTCGCGCGAAGCACACGAAACCACAACACTACCAACGGCGTAGTAGTGCCGAACCACTGAAAACGCAAGCCTCCACCTTTCCGCACCGTCACCATCATCATGTCAAGAACCTCTCACAGACGGGGTGAGTGAGCACGAATAAGAGTTGAACCAACACCAAAGACGTCCTTAACCATCCGCCTTCCCTACTCTACACACTCACAGCAATCGCTATTAATGAAGGTGCATTAACCGCAACTGCTTGCCCTCCCACCACTAGCAAGAAGAGAAGACATCATTGTGCAGACAAGAACGTTAAAATGTTTGTCAAGTATTGTACAAATGTACACACAGCAAACAAGATAAAGTGGATTTCGACTACCTCCTCAACATCATCCTCAATCGTCACAATCACCATCATCCTTAGCAAGAAAGGGGACAAATGGGTCCACATCCGATACTGGACCCGCTCTCCGACTGGGCATCACATCAGCAACGAGGGCAACAACAACTTGCGCGCTCCAGTCCTCATACCTGCTTGAATATTTACCTGTACAGCAGAAGAAAAACGACAAACATCAAGAGCAGGACACGGAGTAACAGCAGTCAGCACAGTGCAGACGTAAAAACGCATTTACACTTATTGTTATCGAATCACAGGCGACTACACATGATCTGCTGAGAAATACGCACGCAGTTCCACCAACATTAATGGCACCAACTCACACGTCAAGGCAACCAACGCTAACGAAACCGAACGACGGCAAGAGATGCGCATACTGAAATCGCAACATTTTGAAAGACTACTACAATTCAACGAAAAGGATAAGGTATCACACAGACTTCTCAACACTATCGAACATCTCACAGTAAAC